TCGACAGCTGAGCTGAAGCAAATGGTCGCCTCGTTTTCTAAGTCCCCCTCGATGGTCCGCCAAAAGTACGGAGAGGATTTGCAAAGAAGTCTGGATGCCTTTGTGACCAGGAAACAGCCCAAAGAGTCCACAAATCACGAGCCAACTGCCTTTGTGGCGAGGGAGGCGTCCTTATCGCTAATGTCTATCCAGCGCCGATTCGAGAAGATTCAACAGGCTCTTGAGAAACCCGATGATACCCATTCATCACAACAGCTGTTTTGGCTCCAGGCTGGACAGTTGTGGCCTGCAATCACTCACATTACGCTATTAGAACAGCTGAGATCAACCGCGCAGCCCATCACGTTCGGTAAATATGCGAAAGAGACGTTGATTGACTTTGGCCTCGCGATTACGAATACGCAAAGAGACCTCAGAATCAATGATTTTGTTCGTCGAGGTGATGCTGGAAGGTACAAAGATGAGATGAGCAACCAGGGACATTCCAATTGGCAGCCTTGCGACCACCCAGATTGGCTGCTCTTGGAGATTGAAGCGAACCTTCTCATCCGCCCCGATCAGGTCGATGTAGCACTGGCTACGATTTCTCCCGCCTCGGGAAACAATTCCGTTCTTCAAATGAACATGGGTCAAGGTAAGCTGACTGATTATCTCCGCCTTCTTTCCATTCGTCGCTTAACAGCATACTAACTGTGTCTCAGGCAAGACATCCTGCATTATTCCAATGGTTGCCGCAGCGCTCGCCAATCGGCAGAACCTCGTCAGAGTGGTTGTACCAAAGGCTCTGCTCCTCCAGACGTCGCAATTGCTTCAAGGTCGCCTAGGTGGACTACTTGACCGTCAAGTGCGCCACCTTCCGTTTTCCCGACGAACACCCACCGAGGAGCATATCATTCGGGCGTACCACAGAGTCCACCGGACTATGATGAAGGAAGCAGGGGTGATGGTATGCCAACCAGAGCATAACCTTTCATTCATGTTGAGCGGATTGCAGCGCCTTCTTGACAACAGAGTTCCGGAAGCTGGTCCCATGATCAATGTTCAATCATGGCTTCGCACTCGGTGCCGTGACATTCTCGATGAGTCCGATCACACATTGGCTGTACGAACACAGCTCATCTACCCCTCTGGTTCGCAAACTACTGTGGATGGCCATCCTTCACGATGGCAAGTCACTCAAGCTATTCTACGACTTGTTGATCGTCATTCTTACGGGCTGACGAGTGCATTCCCCAACTCAATTGAGGTGGTTCGACGGCCTGGTGGTGGCTTTCCTCTGCTTTTCTTCCTCCGGTCAGATGTCGAGGAAGAACTCATTCGCGGCCTCACCGCTGACGTATTGAGAGGTACTGATGGGATCCTTCCGGTCCAAAGTCTGGAAGCTGCGGACCGTCTTGCGATTCGGGAGTTCCTCACAGGCAAACCCCGGGACGTCACTCTGCAGCGCATTCGTCAACTCTGCCCGGATCGTCCCGCTGTTCGTCAGACAGTCTATCTTCTGCGGGGAATTCTGGCCAACCGGATATTGATGATGACTCTGAAGAAGCGATGGAACGTCCAGTACGGTCTACACCCTCTGCGAGACCCCATCGCTGTGCCCTATCATGCGAAGGGTGTTCCTAGCGAGCAGTCTGAATGGGGACATCCAGATGTTGCTATTCTGTTTACATGCCTGGCTTTTTATTACGACGGCATCAGTGTCTCGCAGCTCACCCAGTCCTTGGAGCACCTTCTCAAGTCCGATGACCCATCGGCTGAGTATGACAAATGGACTCAGACCACCGAATCGTTTCCAGAGTCCCTCAAAGCATGGAACTCCATCAACGTAGATGATGATCTGCAGCTTGTCGAGATTTGGAAGGCTGTACGGTACAATATGACAACCATCGACTACTTCATGAACAACTTCGTCTTTCCCCAACACGCTAAGCAGTTCAGAGTCAAGCTTCAGTCCAATGGATGGGATATTCCATTATTCACGGTCGACACTCCTTCAAACAATGGAGACAGCCAAGAGATTTCCAGGGCTCTGACAACTGGATTCAGTGGCACAAATGACAATCGTACGATGTTGCCTTTGACGATCAAGCAGGAAGACCTTCCCGGCCTATCTCACACGAACGCTGAGGTCCTTACTTACCTTCTACATAAGCGATCTCGTGAGTGTCGCAAGATTGAAGGCGCCGGAGGGGAAAGAGCGACTGAATCAGACCTTTTGCAAGAACTCAGGCGTCGGGACATCAATATCCTGATCGATGCAGGAGCTCAAATCCTGGAGATGGATAATGTGACCCTTGCAAAGAAATGGCTGGAAGTTGACCAGCGGGCTTTAGCTGCTTTGTTCTTCGACGAACAGAACAAACCATGGGTTATTCAAAGAACTGGCCGAAAAACCCCACTACTTGCTTCACCGTACGCGGATGACCTGAGTAGATGTTTGGTGTACTTGGACGAGGTAAGATGACGGCCATGTCTTATGTTGGAATTTCAGCTGAAATGACTCTAGGCCCATACTCGAGGAACGGACCTGAAGTTTCCCCCTAGTGCTCGAGGCGCACTTACTCTCGGCCTCGGTCAGAGCAAGGACCATACCGTTCAAGGTGAGTGAAGGAACCTATCCCCTTGCTATGGTTTTGGAAAGAGGCTGACCCAACGGCAACAGCTGCAATGCGACTGAGACAGCTGGGAACTACCCAATCCGTCACGTTCTTTGCTCCACCAGAGGTATATCAGAGCATCCTGGATTTGCAGTCCAAACCTCTTGGCGCCACTGTCGACTCTCGCGACGTGTAAGTACATGGATACACACGCACTGGACCACACTGACCGTGCGCAGAATCTGCTGGCTGTTGGACAACACTTGCGATGGCATTGAGCAATTGCAGCCCCTCTACTACGCTCAAGGCATCGACTTTTGCCGGCGCATGCAGGCTACCGTTGAACATCCCGAGTTCCTGCGAGATAAGGCCCAAAGGGAAGACTACCTGGCCACAGTCAAGCAGAACGAGCAGTTCAGCTTGCAGCAGATGTACGAGCCCAAGCGAAAGGTGAAGGGCACCGGCGAGTTCCGAGCTGGTTCGAACCTGAAGATCAGATCTTTTGTCAAGGAGCTCAATACGAGACGCAAAGCATTCCAAGATACGGGTCGGGCTGTTCATGCCTCAGCTCTGCAGGAGGTCGAGCAAGAGCGAGAAGTGGCATTCGAGGTGGAGACTGTTCGCCAAGTCAAAAAGCCCCAGCACTACCCAGCGCTGTCGTTCCCGGGCCTTGCTCAAGATATTGAGTCGTTCGCATTGAACGGAAGAATTTCCGCTGGATCTCAGAGCTTCGTGCCAGTTCTCAAGTCGCTGGCAAAGACGGGTACAGGCAAAAAGTTCAAGGTTGCCGATCGATCAACACAGGCACGGCTGTTCGTTTCCACAGAATTCGAGCGAACGATCAAGCTCACCTTCGACTTGACGAACGATAATTTCCTGGTAAGTACATTCCGCAAAGCTTTCATGTTGGCGGCAGTTCTGACAAGTGATTTATAGCGCAATGTGAATTGGATTCTTTGGAGCGATGTCACTGGTGTCGCTCTCGTCGTTGTCCCCGAGGAAGCCGAGATGCTTCTGCCTCTTGTCAGAAACAAGGGCCCCAAGCATGTGACACATCTCATTCTATACTCGGCTCCCGTCACCCGCAAGATGCTTCATTTCAGCAAACTTGACTATCTCAGTATCCCGCCTCTTGCTAACGACTGGGAAGCGCCAATGTGGTTGAGGGTTGAGCTGGGATTATACGCCGGACGGCTCTACTTTGAGTGGGACGAGTATGCAGAGATATGCCGCCTGCTCGGTATCGATGAGACTTCTCTTTCCGAACACATGGAAGAGTCTTCTGATGAAGATCTGGAGAGGGCACAGCTTGACGGAGCAGTCGAATTCAAGCCGTCGGCCAAGCCAGCCAGGACTGGTCTGACACCTCGTCCGTTGACATTTTGCCAAGAATGGCTTGCTGCTCGACGCCGTGGTCAGGACTTTGTCTCTACCCCTATGGGTTTCATCGCCCAAGGAAAGCCTCTCCAGGCTACCCACCCTTTCTTCCGCAAGACTGATACGGAGAAGCATGACAAGCTCTTCGTCCCCATCTGTCGCCAGAAGGTCCAGCAGGATGCAGATGATCAGCCTCTGGATGATTACGGTCTGGACTACATGGGCGAAAATGAGAATGCAGACAGCGATGCTGACGACGACGAGATCGAGTACAACGAGTCGGAGATGGGGAGCGATGGCGAGGACCCTCAGGTGGAGTCGGATTCGGAGTATTGAATTAGTCGGATGGGATACTTGCTCAGAATGTTGCTTAATCTTCCGTGTCAAGGGATGGCAACGTGGAATGTTCTTTCATTGGTGTTCGGATTACTTCTGTATGATACCACTTGCTTGCTAGCTCAGATCGTCAAATTGTCTTTGTTTTCATACTTCGTGGTTCTTTCTGGTCAGCCCACTTGTTCAATACTAGTGATGACGGGCAGTATGATGGCTGTGATGGATCAGCAGGCGATCCTGAATTATTGTTTGCTTTCCACGAGAACTTGGGGACTTGGGTTCCTCAAAACAGTCTGTGTCTCACTTACAAGGCAATGATTCTGCCATTCCACGCGGAAAACAAGGCAGAACGGCGAGGCACTGAAGGAGGAAGATCAAGTCAAGAGGACCTAGAAGTACGGCGCGAGAGGAAGACAATGTAGGATGACGAAGTAGGAATACGAAGCAGGACGACGAAGAAGAGGACGAAGAAGGACGACGAAGGACGACGAAGGACGACGAAGGACGACGAAGGAGAGAGACAACAGAAGCAATGGACCTCCAAAACAATTCATTTGACATGCTAGTAACATACATCAGGTAGGTGCAAGTGGCCCATTTCCTCCTTTCTCATGTTCCGACTTCCGCGAGTCTCCCAAGAAATCCTTCAAATCATCACTGCACAGTCGTACCAATCACCCTCCCGCGAGATCAAAGGTGCTTGGTGACCCGAGACGGCTTCAAAAGCCTCATGCCCAGCGACGTCCAGTACCAGACCGGGCCATTGTCGATGGTGACAGCGTCTACTCCAGTCTGCTGGCGACAGGCAGCGGACTCGCAGTCGTTCTTGCTCCAGCCGACAAGGAGGTCGTCGGCCCACCAGGTGCGAGGCTGGCCATCCACGCGAAGTGTGACTGTGATGGAGCTCAGACCAGAGAAGCCAGTGGCCTTGAAAACGGTGAGAGGGCACTCCTTCATCGCAGGGCAAGAAGGCACCCAGGCAGTCTGGCTGGCGAACTCCGTCTCGTTGCTCTGTGTAGCGTTCCACTGGTAGCCCGTGAACGTGAACTCGCAGAGCTGGCCGGCGATGCGAGAGTCGCAGCCGAGATTGATGCCGTAGAAGTCGAATTGGAAGCACGGAGATGATGCCGTCTTGCCCATGCCAATCTGAGCGGTGTCGCCAGAGAACCCAGATGTGTTGGAGTTGGAGAGCATGGGAGGCACGAACTCCACAAGGCGGCCGCCAGAGGAGGGCAGGTACGGGTCCGAGGGGGGAGGACCGACGAGGAACCCCTTCGTGAACCAGAAGCGGTGGTAGGGGTTGTAGACGGGGCCAACCGAGAGGTCATCAAACTGCAAGTCTTGTCAGCAATGGCCAAGGACGCCGGACGACAATGGCGGCAGAGACGACGCCGGACGACGCCGGACGACGATGGAGACAAGGACGAAACTTACGTCCAAGGACAGCGTCCCAACCTCAGTGGTACCCGTGCACATGGGGGTCGCGGCCGAAATGGGGGCAGTTGCGTTCAGGAAGGCGCGACGCTCGAGGGCTCCTGCCGTTGCGGTTGGCGTGGTCGTAATTACCTGAACCAGGGTGCTGAGTACCAGCGAGCTCTGGACGTTGCCACCGGCACTCACAATGACGCTGGCGCTGGCGCTGGCGCTGGCACTGGCACTCGTACTGGCGCTGGCGCTGGGAGGGCTGCCACCCGCGGCGTTGCCTGGGTCTGCCGGGCTCACAGTGATGACCGAAATGGAAGTGACCAGGGACTCGAATGGGAAAGAGTAGGTGGTTGTGGCTTCCGAAATGACGTTGACCAGTGTGCTTGTCAGCAGAGAAGAGCTGGTCTCTGTGGAGCTGGGTTCTGCGGAGCTGGGTTCTGCGGAGCTGACCAAAGTCGGCGCGGGTTGCGGTGCGAGGGTCGACGTGCAAGAGCTGGTGCTCGCTGCGCCAGGCTGATCAGAGCCAACGGCAGTGGCAGCGTCAGTTGGAGCAGCAGTTGCGGCCGCATCGGTCTGGGCAGTGGGCCACAATGTGACCACAGAGGGAGAGCCGAGAGGACCAGGAGAAGCAGTTACTTGCGCTGGGTCGCTGTATCCCCCAAGAATGCTGCTAGGAGCAGAGCCAGCAGGGACAGTGACCGTCACAGGTGCTGCGCCAGCGGGATCCTGAGAGCCGGAGCCAGCATCTGAGCCAGACCCAGCCGGGACGGTGACAGTGACAGGCGATGCATTGCCAGGACCCTGAGAAGCAGAGTCTGAGCCAGAGCCGGAGCCGGAGCCAGCTGGAAGGGTGACTGTGATCGCAGAAGGAAGGCCAGCTGAAGGAGACAAGTCGCCATAGCCACCAGGAATGGAGTCGCTCGGAGAGACAGTCTGACTCAAGATCGAACCAGGGCCGCCCGGAACACCTCCGGCAGGAGGAGTGTCAGAGGTCATGAAGACGGTGACAATTGAGCCAGCTGGAGAAGAGGCGCTGGGCTGAATGACGGTGATGGTGGAAGGGCCGACAGGAACAGCTGGTCCGGAAATGCCAGGAGACGAGGGGTTCGGCTGGATGACAGTGATCGTGGCAGGGCCAGATGGAGAAGAACCAGGGGCGCCAGGAGGCTGAATGACAGTGACGGTGGCAGGGTCAGACGGGGCAGAACCAGGAACACCAGGAGGCTGAATGACAGTGATGGTAGCAGGGCCAGATGGGGAAGTACCAGGCGCGCCAGGAGATGCCGGAGGCTGTGAGACACCAGTCGCAGGAGGTTGAGGGAATGTGAGAGTGAGAGTGGCGATAACAGGAGTGCCTGCCGTGGGGTCCTGAGCACCTGCCGGCATAGTGTAGGTGGTGGTAACGACGGTAGCAGGTGGAACACCATTGCCAACGCCCGGGGGGAATGAAGAAAGAAGCGTCTGAAGAGAGTAGGAGAGACTGCCATCAGGGCCCGGGACCATTGTGGGAACGACAACGGTGCTAACAGAGCCACCGCCAACTGGAGCCCCAGGGGTATTGCCAGAGTCCGTCGCAGAGGGAAAGGTGACGGTGAAGCAGGTGACGAGAGCGTCGACTGTTGGAGTGCCTCCCAATCCAGGTCTGGTGTTGTACAGAGTGGTGCCGAAGACAACGACGCCATCAGAGTTGGTGCCAGGGTCCGTAGGGTTCCAGGGGAAAGAAGGAGGAGTCTGTCCAGCAGGGAACGTGTAGACTGTGGTTCCTTGACCATTGCCTCCTGGAGCGCCGGGGGTAACTTGGCCGCCAGGGAGGGTGGTAGCAGGAGGATTGCCATCGACGTTGCCGGGGATGCTGGCGATTGAGGAGTCGGGAGTGGGAGCGATGTAGACAGTGGACGTGATGACGGGGCCAGACTCCCAGGGCTTGGGGCCTGTGTACTGAGAGCCGCCAGCAGGAGGGGTGTAGGCGTCAATGGTGATGGTGGTAGGAGGGAGAGAAGTGGGCTGGGCAATGACGGGGATGTAGACGGTCTGCGTGAGGGTAGGGCAGGTTGAGGCCAGGGCAACGCCCAAGGCCGCGAGGCCGCCGATGACTCGGGCTCGCATGTCGACGAAGACGCTGAAGGACGCTAAAGGACGACGAAGGACGAAGAAGGACGCCAAAGGACGAAGACAAAGGACGAAGACGACAGAAAAGACAGAGACAAACGAGGGCGGGCGCCAGAAATGAAGGATGGGATGAAGAAGAGAAGAAGTCGGAGGATGATGGGGGAGAGAGGGGGTTTAAATAGATGGGAGACGGGGAGTGATCGAGGAGCAGAGGCAGAGGCAGAGGCAGAGGCAGGAGGGACCTCCTTCCTCGATCTCACAGTTTGAAAGTTCTGGGAAGGAAGCTTTCGGGTCACGGGAGGAGCGCACTGCAGTTGCCAGCCTCACACTCTAGATGGAAGGCACGGCGGGGCACCTCATACGAAGGACGTGAGCCGGGCAAGCACCAGATCACAGAAGGAGAGAAGAAGGTTGGGCATGGATCATGTCAAACACCAACGAAAGCCAGAGCACATAATCACTGTAGGCCGAAGAGCCGATGGAGACGAGCATATTTGGGTATGGAACACTTCGTCCATAGCAGATATGTCGTAGCCATCGGTCATGATCAAATGCGGCACAATATGGCGTCCTCCAGAGGCACACGAAGTCCTCGTCGGTCTGACCATGCGACTGCCCATTGAGGATTGCAACTGCTCTCCGGGAAAGGTTGGCAAGTACCTGTTGCTTCATGTGACTGTGAGCAGAACCGCCTGGAATCGTTCGGTCAGTCAGGTGGCCTGGTTTCGAAACCAGTGGGGCGAGAGAGATCGTTGCCTTCCGCAAGTTGAACAGTTGTTGAGGGAGGCACGACTTCCGTGGGAAGGTCCTCGCCTCACCAGTCCCATGGACTCACCGTATCGCAAGAGAAGCGGGCAGGAAAGAGGTGCGCAAAGGGGAACAGGTTGGTCGGGGTGGCAGCCGCGGCGAGGCACATGCACTGTACCCAAGTCAAGTCTGGGAAGGAGACAAGTCCGGTGCCTTCCCAGGCAAGAGCTGCTCCCCACTTCCTTATCAGCCATGGAACAGGCTGGAATCTGGCCTTGGTAGGAAGAAAGGACAAATGAGGCGCCAAGGCAGGAAGAGAGATAGAAGGAGAGAGAAACGCTTTTGGGCAGGGCAAGTCACGTCGTGGAGGAAGGAGGGAGGAAGCAGGAGTCCGGTGTTCCAGGGTTCGGTGAGTAACTGGCGATGACGCCGCCGATGAGGTGGGTTGAGCACAGAATGGCTGCAGGAGGGCTGTGGCAGAGGCTGAATGGAAGTCAATTGATTGCTTGCTTGCTGTTAATCAAAATAAGAAATGTACTTCTCCGGTCTAGACCGGGTCATCCTCGTAGGGAGGCGGCGGCGGCAACGGCTCTCCAACCAAGCTCTCCACAGCCTCCCTCCTCTTCTCGTCCTCCATTCTCGCCGCCCAGAGTGCCGCGCCCGCCGACGTTGTGAGCAGGAAGAAAAAGGACAGCACCGGCACAAGCTCAAGAAGCATGGCCACCGTGCCGAACCACACGTACTCCCACGTCCTCGACTGTATCTCCCTCTTCGACTCCTTCTTGCTCAGGCCCCGCAGCTGGAACCATCTGTAGTGGGCAAGCTTGCCCAGTCTCGTGCCCGTGATGATGATGAACGCCGGCGTGCCAACCACCGGGATGAAGTTGAGGGGGAGGAACATGATCAGTTCGATGATCTGCACCATGCTCCAGGGCGTGTAGATGGCAGAGGTCGTTGGCTTGCCAAGCATCTTGACTGCGGTCGGGGCGTCGGGGAAGAGAATTCGGTGCGGGGCTACAAGATCGGTATGGGACTCCTTGATGAGGGTGGCCTAGCACGCATCGTTAGTTTTGCTTGGAACTGCCCACTTTGGCTTGAGTGGAAGACTCACATCGAAGACGTCGACTCGGCATTCGTCGACAAAGAAGCCCTCAAACAGACCCTGGATAATCACCACTCCCTCTCCTAGGACGAGCACTACCGCGTTGACCCATGCGCCCCAGCCGTGGAAGATGGCCAAGAACGCGAATTGCGGCAGGAAGGCAAACGTGAAGAGTATGAAGTATACCAGGAAGGATATGATGGAAAGCGGTAGTAATCGGCTGAGGAAGAGCGGGTAGAACTCCTTGTTTCGCAGGAAGTACCAGATACCGCGCAGAGGGTACGACGCGGCGATGCCGGCGCGCGTTAGGTAGCTGACCGGTCGCTCGACAGGGCGAAGAACGACATCGACGCGTGATGACCACGCCGATTGCTGTGATTCTGGCATTTTTGTATCGGCCGTCAGGCTCGAGGGGTGTTGTAGGAACGAGGTCGTCGTCGGTTTAAAGTTCGAAGTTGTTCCTGCAATCGCTTGGACGCGACTCTCGCTGGAAATGAATGCGCAAATGGCTGCCTACGTCATCCAACGCGGCGTTCTCTGATTGGACAGCGATGTTGACGTGTCCCACTCCGAAGTGCAGGGAAGGCCTTGTTCAAGCTTGGGGAACCCCGCGGTCGCGACGATCATTTGGTGGCGCACAGCTTGTCGGGAGCGCCAGCCACCAACGGGCCACTGCCAGCCAACAGAGCCGAGCTGAAAATGAGTAAGTCGCCAATCATTAGAAAGGCAGCACTGCAAACTCCGGTTCATCGATGCACTTCCAAACTTCCACTTCAATTTCAATCGAATGATCATCTTTCCAGCGAAGTCGGTGCCACTTCTCGCCGCCATTTGGAGTTGGATGGTGTGAGCTGGGGCATCGTCGCATTACGGTACCTTCAGTGCCGAAAGCAGGCGTCAGAATGTGAATTTGCTCGACTCTTTAGATCTCTGTCGTGATTCCGCTTTCTTTCGACATCATACTGGTTCTGGTTATTCTCGAAATGGATTTACAAATGGCTCTCCAGGCGCATTTCGGATCCGCGAGCGAGAAAGCTAATGTCGGTGACGGACCTCACCAAAACGTGGATTTCCTAGGTTTACCACAATTCATATTCATGATCACGTTGTAATGCTTCCACAAATGACTTTTGGTTGAATTGGCCAAATATAAGGGAATCCGGCCTTTACAGGCATTATTGGGTTCATAGCGCAAATTTCATTGCCGCCTGGAGTTTGTAGCTGGCTAGGAATAGTGTTTCAAAGCCCGAATTGAAAAAAGCCGCTGAATTGGATTTGATGCCAATTCCCAACGGTCGGCTAAAGACAGGCATACGACAGCGCAGGATAGCAGCCATATTCAGACTGTATGTACTCCTATGGCACGACGCCTCTAAAGTTTCGAGATCGAGAGGCACGCCCACGGAGGTGAAATCGTGAAAAATTGCTTTCTGGGAGTGACCAAGCCTACTTACACCAGGGAACTTGAACGGCTCTGTTCCAGAGATACCCATGTGCCATGTGCCTGGAATTATTGACCCGTACACACTTTTATGTCATTTTGTGTTGAATCTTTTGAGGAACTCGTGAGATTGAGCGTAAGAAATCTTCCTGCACCCCAGATCAGACTGAATAGTCAAGGAGTCCGAGGGTTAGCGTGAATAGGTCGTAAAAAGGTGATAAGTTGTGTTTCTTACTCGGTAATGAATTCCTAGATTTCTCATACGCGTGGGCTGTCTAGTTCAGGTACCTAGACAAGACCACCACAGTATGGCCAACCACAGGCCAGGACAGCCAATGCCGATAAAATAGATGAAAGCGTAAGCCTCGGGAGTGCGTTGGAAGGTAGGCAACCTTGTGGTAGAAATGGCAAAACGTAGGCCAAAGATGAGTAAAATGCCCAGTAAAAGAAGCTCCACAAGACAGATGCCATACGAGGACCTTGATATGCAGTCTTTGTTGTTGAGTTTGATCCATAAAAGCTCCGGGATGTGTGACATGGCTACTATCCATCGCAGGAGAGCGAGAATGGGTTGTGAAGGGAAATGTGAGATGCTGGTGCGTGCGAGTGAGATGATATTCCGCGCGAAAAGGATGTTGAGAAACCCCCATAAGGAAGTGATGCGTGGCCACAAGACGCGTGGCCACAACCATTCCGAGTCACCGATGCGGCAGATCAGCTCGGCGGTGGTCATAGTAGACAAAGGATTTACCATTGTGCGGTGATGATATGTTGTGGGAAGAGGTCCAAAGGTAAGAGGCTAGCGGAGCGGCCTTAATTGACGGTGGAAATCGATTTCAGTAACTGTTAAGCTTCTGAAGATTGAAATGATCTTATAAGTTTGTCAGGCCCCAAGGTCCTCACTACCCTACTGTCCATGGAAGCTATTTTACCACAAGTACGTTCTTGCTGCTATCAAGCATACCTTGTGAGATACACGCTGGACATCACTTCGAGATACGGCTTTTCCCTGGATCTATAGAAGACTCTAGTTTACTTGCTTACGTATTCCAATTTCTCAATTTTCCTGGGACGGGACACTTCGCTGTTAGCTGCCCGTTGCCAGGGTCCACATACATACCCTGCTGGCTTCTTCTTTCAACCTCGAATAGACAGTTGGCAAGAAAGAGATGAATGTTTGGCCGTCCACGAAAATGACCCCCGCGTCAATTGCAAAGGTGTGAGCCAGATTGTCCAGGTACGGATCGGAGATAATCAAAAACAACAAATTTAGAAAAAAGAGACACGCATTACTTTGGAGGCTCTTTGACCATTTCATCCACTTCTCTTAATGCATCAAGTTATACATTCAAATAAATTTGTTCCAGCATTTACCTCAACAACTCAAACGTTCAGAAACAATGATGATACCAGCTGATGTACGGACACTTGGTTGGATCTTTCGTCAGTTAGCTTGGATAACATATTTCCTGCTTCCTTTGATGCCTCGGCGATTTGAAGCTTTGCATGAGTCCTATACCTTCGTTACCCTCTCTGTCGGCGTGTCGATTTCGGAGTACGCTTACCGCGAGCTCCTTGACTTCGACTTTCACGCCATAATAGGCCCACCCAAAATAACGCCCATGTGCCAAAGCTCTCAGGCATATGTGTCGCCGAAACGGAGGCTCGACACATTTGAACATGCCTGGTTACAACTAAGAACGTTCGGCAAACTTCAGAAATTCAGACGCGGTGACCGAATCATCGAGGACGTCTACATTATCAACCCGGCCCTGATGACCAAGGAGGAATTCGACGCCCATCTCCAGCGTGTATGCGACCTGCTACAACAACCAAATGCTCGAGGCTCTTTGACACAAGCAATCGCAGTATCGTATGCAGACAATTCGAAGGAGATTGTACCGACATATCATGGGCTTTTCGACCCCGCAACCATTCTGGCAATTTCACGTTTCAAAGAAGTCAAGCATATTCGATACAAGCAATACACTGGCGAAGAGCTGCTTGAAGCTGCCAAGAAGAAGTAGGAGATAGTAAGAGCATCACACATTGCTGCATACCTCAAGTAGACTACAGGTTTCTTGGCAATGCGGCAGCAAGTACGGCGGGATGGGGACGAATGGCAGTAGTCTGCCTCCTCAAATAGCACCTTCAACACCTTGACTATTAAAAGTTTGAATCGCTGAGACAACTCTTTTCAATATCTACCGTCAAGCTTTCTTAACAGCTGCAAGGACGCCTGTGTCAACCGAGCACATTAGGAGCAACCTAATTAAACCTCTGGTAGAGGACAAAAGCCATACAATCGTTTGCTGATTGTATTTCTTCTCTAACTCTACTCATCCCTGGTTCCCAACAATCTACTGTCATTTGGTTTTCCTTGATTCTGCCACGCGTGTTCAATATCTCAGCCTTCAATCTTCAAAACTCTGAACCAGTGAAATTGTGTTAATCAAAGTCAGACCATCTAGAAATATAGTGGGGCACCCGAGGCCGCAAGTGTAGCGTAGAAAAGATTCGTCTTGCCCATGATAATCATGCGACCATCGCCGGCGAACTGGAAGTTCGCAGCGACGATTCCGGTATAGATCTTTCCAAGAAGCTTTCCGGAAGGATTCCAGACGTGCACGCCGTCATTGCATCCGGCGTAGACGTTGCCCTTGGAATCCGTGTGGATGCCTGTGGGTTTTTCGTTAGTTGCGGGGTTCATGCGCTGACTTGTTGACGGCTGTGGCGCCAGATCGAAGGAGACTTACCATCGGGGACACGAGCATGGACGTAGGCAAAGGTCTTTTGGTTCTCGAAGGTGCCGTCTTCCTTGACATCGAATCGGTAACTGTGATGTGGGCGTGAGTCGATGATGAGGCAGGCCGCGGGAATCATGATGACTTACATGGATGCGGGCTGAGTCAGGTTCATGCCGAAGAGAGCGCGGCTGATACCAGTGTCCGTGACGTAGGCGTAGTCACCCTCAGGAGAAAAGGTGAGACCTATACACAAGCAGTCAGAAATCATATGCAATCAAGAAATGGTGTCACTAGTTGGGAAAGCTCACCATTGGGTAGGACGAAGTCATCTGCAACAACGGTAAGAGCACCAGTGGTAGGATTCAGGCGGTAAACCTGGTTCCGCATGCCAGGCTCAGGGCGGAAGTACTGGTAGTAACCGTACAGGGTGTCGGTGAAGTAGATGTCCTTGTTCTTGGGGTTGACGGCCACGTCGTTCAGAGAGTTGAACTGTCTGCCAAAGAAGTTGTTGACGAGCACTAGCAGAAACGAGGGTCAGTTAAGGCTGTCACTCAGGCTGATCAGGTGCATGAAGTTGGTCACATACAGGTCGTGTTGTACGGCTCAAGGGGGTTCATGAGGTACAAAGCAGAGGGGATGCGGTCTCCCTGTCCCTCGCCGGCAAAGATGATGTTGCCATTGTAGTTGGTTCCGCCTAGGTTGCATTAGTCTCCGACGCGCGAGGCTGTGATGAATCGATGTGAAAGAGTTACCGTTCGGGTTGATGACCTGGGGGTTGGAAGGAACAACGTGAACTGTAACCTCCTCCGTGCCGAGAGTGCCGTTTCTCAAAGCCTCGGCATCCGCAAGGGAGATCTTCTGAACAATGGAGGACTTGTTCAGGCCAGTTCCAGCATCGGGAGAGCCGGCGTTCTGGACGAAGAATACCTCTTCCGTGGGAGGATACCTGCACTCATCAGTCTCGGGTTTGTACTGGCAGAAATCGAGCTCTAAACCCACCATGTCACAGCTTCATGGAAGATGGGGTCAACTTCAGAAGTGGCAATCAGAGTCAGCGAGGGGTTATTGCCGATAATGTCGTAGAATTCCTCATCGTAGACGTGGAATGGCTTCGCCTTGAGAGACTCCTGGGTGACACCAGGCCAGAGGAACGTCTAATATTATGTTAGTCTCGGACTGATGAACATCGCGCATTGAGACTCACGGTAGTGGCATTAGCCTCAGAAGGAGGAAGCACCTCCTCCAGGACGTTGAAGCTCTTTTGATCGATGATCTGAGCAGCCTCTGGCAAGGTTCTGTTCGACTGCGCACGAACACCCGCGAGAAGGCCAAGACCGTTGAGCAGGGCAAGGCCGGAAGCAAGTCTAGAAGAAGCCATGTTGTTGACGAGTTCTTGGCTGGGCTGGGAACGTAACCTCTCGGGGCCGGAAGTCTTGGCCAGATCGATCCGACCTGGGAGCTTTTATAAACGGCTGCCAAGATGACGAGCTCCGTGAGCCCGCAATGCCGAGCCTTCCCAGCCATCACGACCGGGGCCTGAGGGGTAGAGGACGGGCATCTCGCTTGACTGTCGATCTCTCGACCAAGCATCCGGACGAAGACCGGAGCATGTAGTATTGCTTCGGCATTTTGGTGTAATGGGTTGTGGCAGCGTGAAGAGGGAGATGCCTGCCCCCTGGCGATTCGCGCTCTCTTCATATACCCCCATAGGTGGCCATAGAGGTTTCTCTCCCAGGCCATCCTAGCCCTCGATTATTCCCCGTGAGAGTCATACGGCAGTCAACAAGGTGCGCCTCCAGGCGGCAAACTGCGGAAGAAAAGTTAGAAGGGAAGAAAGAAGACCGGAGCAGGGAACATGGCCAGTCGACGACTGAACCCGATGGGCCGAGCGGCAGTTGTCCGCTCACCTTCCGGAGCTATTACGTGTGTGCATATCCGCTTTCTCAACGGTCTAGAACAGGGGTTTGGCCGATGTCACATGACGCAATGTGGGTGGAAAGGGGAAGACGCAGGATGCAGGATGCAGAACGGATTTTGAGTGCGGGGTGCGGGGTCTGGGGAAAAATGCCGAGTGAGCAATCGGAGATGTTTCTCTTCTTTGCGATTCACCAACCACTGCTTGAAATTGACATTCCGGACTGAGATAGTCTTCTCCAAGTAGGTATCAAGCTGAACAGAAAAAGGAGTTCAGGAAAAAGACTCAGATCCCACCTTGCTGGGTTGCCAAGCCCAGCTAACCTCAAAAGCCTCAGTTGTATCCAAGCGGGCATCAATAGCGGAGTGCAGCACCAATTGACAAGCGGGGTGCGACCCAACGCCAAGACGACAAATCCAGCGGTGTCGCTCGTAATTCCGAACGACTGAAGCAAACACCTAGATCTTCACATCACACAGATTGCAGGCCTTTTTTCTTAAATCGTTTCCCAAAGACTGTGCGCAGGAGATCGATTGGAACGCCAAGTCCCATGATCCTACAAGGCCAGCTTGGTGTTGAAGCTGCTTTCCACCCAACCCCTGTCACAAGCTCACAGCTCCCCCAACCGCCCGCATCAAGCCCATGACCGGATAAGATCAGCGGTATCCGTTGGGGAGGAGCTCAAGCGGATAAGCTATGCGAATCGGAAAATTACGAAAATTGAAGTGACACTGGTCTATAAACCTCGGCCCGGGCCTTGTCGCTATATGTTTCGGTGTGGTCTGTCACCGCGATGGTGAGTGTACCCACGTGGGATGCCGACCATTCTTTCCAGCTGGCAGAGACCTCTGGGAAGTCTTTGTACCTGCCAAGATAGGGCTGACCAGTTGTATCTGCATCTCTCATAGTGAGAACCCCATTACAAGGTGGAGCTGTCAACTTCTTTCCGTTGTAAGGTCGAGTTGAGTCGAGCTTATATTTGTTACCTCGCCATTTATATGCAGCGGCCTCAAGACGTGCCCAACCTCGTGACAATGGAATGAGCTTTGAAAAGCTTCGTCCAACTCATCTGAGATGAAAAGATGGGTATGGTCGGTAAATATGTGAATCTAACGTCTTCATCATTCAGTGCTTGCAGTTCAAGCAGCACGGGTAACCCAAACGCCTTCAGTCTACAATGAGCAAATTCTATGAGGTGCATGCGGGCCCTGATGACAGTGCAATTGGCTCTTCACCTCTTATAATCCTCCAGTTGTTACTGATCTCAACTATCTCGTCACAACCCTCGACGGCCCATGCCCATTTCTTGAGAAAGCCAGGGGTTGCCTCCCAGTTCCGCTTATCATGCGCCTCGCCCCAGACAACGAATCCGTTCCTTCCCGCTGATGGATCATCTGCAGCTTCCTCTTCGACCAAAGGACAACTTGATGATGATAAACGACCGCCGTTCTCACGGCGCTTAGCCGCAGCTGCGCGAATCACTGACCCCAGGAGATCCCGAAGGAATTCGTTGTGATCGAAACAGGCCTCCCAGCGAATTAGATTATCCCGCAATCGTGCAAATGGGATCACATTGATCCAAAAGCTGTGAGTGTCTGTTGCCTGAACCGGAGTTGGGTGGAGAGACTTGGGCATGTTGGGATTGATTTGGTGTATGGTTGACGTGATCGTGCAACGCATGTCGCCTTGGTAGATTACCGGCGGGGCGAGCCATCCATCTTTGGGAAGATTCCGAGGAGATGCTATTGCCGTTGTCACATCGAGAAGATTTGCGTTAGATACGAAAGCTCGGAAAACATTGTGCTCAATAAGATGGAGCAAGAGATCCGCGTAGAGTGTTGTAGCGAAGGCTTGGGACGAGTCAAGCCTCAGCGAGAAAGCGTCACGGTCAGTCTCGTCAAGGGTTATGACCTCAATGTCTGATGATTGCTCCCGCGAGGAAATACCCAAGTCAGTAGGCTGACTCGGAGGGGTTCCCAGTTCTTCTAATGAGGCCTTTATCGCCTGATATGGCTGTGCATCATCCCCCAATCGCCAGCGATCAACTCGGAATGGTCGCCGGCTTGGGGTAGCATTGGCAGCGCTTGTTTTGAGACGTTGCCCTGCAGCTACCGGTCAGCGCCGCCATGGTGATCTCGGATGAGTTCTAGAACCCAAATCGAGCATGCAAACAGACTTACTGCGTGCTCTTTGGTTTAATCGGTTCTGTACTCTCTTTCTCTGTTTCCTGTCTTCCGCGGTTTGCGCGCTTCCCGCGGTGGGCTGATTATCAAGCGAACTCATCACTGCGTCGGGGACGACAACAGCCGGGCCAGACTCTCAGTAGAACCAAAACCTCAGCTTGTCCTTCAATTTCATCAAAATGTCGATGAAGCTGGCGATATGATGGGGGTCAGCCAAACCAAAACGGGGAAAAACGGTCAGCCAGGTTTGTCAGCGACAACGTGACGCGGCGGGCGGAGTGCAGGACGGAGCCCGGCTCGCCCGAAACGGCAATTCAAGTCAGCCGGTTTGTCAGAACTCCGCTGTGGAAGCTTGGCAACGTTACACTCCGTTGCGTTGACAGCGTCCGCCCCCCTTTTTTTTCCCCGCTTATGCAAAAACATGAAAAAAAGCCAATTTTACGCTGTGACGCGCATTTCTCTGCATCGCACGCAAAACGCGTCAAAGTCATCACCAACACCTCAATTGCCGTCAATCACTATAGTCCCAGTAGTATTCAAACGTATAACTACACGATAGAGACATAAGGTGTGTATTTCATGCTTCCGTAGCAGTCAATCTACCCATCGAGGCATTGCCAACCCAGCTAGTCACCTCATCCCCATACCATTCGACCAACAAAAGGTCTATTTTCGTCATGAGAGATCAAGATGACATTTGCTGAGGAACAGAAGAAGAGACCTGCTGTATGACTTTATATATCTACTCAGCATACGGTTTGTATGGCTCTGAGTAATATATAAGCATACCAAGGGGCTTGATACGGTTCTTCAGAGCAAATGCTTTGGCAGTCAACAGGATTAATGACTCTCCTGATAGCTCAGCTTGTTCACGATATTGAGCAAGAGTCTACTGCTGTATAGATTGTGCCCTGTTACTTACAGTTTGCCGCTGGTCAGTACATGTCCGTGGTTTATTATATCAGATACATCGAGAAAGACGCCGGGCGACGACGACGATACAATGGCGCCCAGAATATCGAATCTACAGCTATCGACGATCGCGATGATACTGCCATTCGAAGACCAAAAGACCCACGAGCTGGCAAGTATCGTTGGCTGTACCGAACGAACGATTCGACGACATAGATCACGACGTAATATCACTGGCGAAGTGCAGAGATATAAGAGGTGCCGCCAGAGTCGACAAAAGATGGAAATATGGCATCGTACAGAGCTTCTTGAACTACTGCAGTACCGCAGCGATCTATCTCTTGAAGAGATGCAAGATTTCCTATTTGAAGCCTTCGAGATCCAGATCAGTCGTTCTGCAATCAGTCGACAGTTAAACTCAGCTGGCTGGACGAACAAGAAGTCCAAGATTATTGCTGCTCAGCGAAGTGACGAACTACGATACGAGTACTTGTACCGTATACGACGATATCGCCCCGACCAGCTGGTATTCGTCGACGAATCCGGCGTCAATAAGGATACTGGGATACGGAGGACTGGATGGGCGCCGAAAGGGCTTGCTGCGTTTCGAACTGCAGAGATTGATCGGTTTCAGAACTCTCGCGTACAGATCCTGCCAGCCCTCACGTTGAGCGGTATCCTACACTTGACTACGTATTATGGTACGACTGACGGCGATGGGTTCTTTCGTTGGCTACAGGAGTGCCTTATCCCGAAATGTGGGCGTTTTCCAGAGCCAAACTCTGTCATCGTTATGGATAACCTCTCCTGCCATCGTATACCTGAAATCGAGGGTTTATGCCGGGTATCAGGTGTCCATCTCGAGTTTCTGCCTCCGTATTCACCAGACTTCAACCCCATCGAAGAGTACTTCGGCGATCTAAAGCGATACATCAGGAAGACGTATTCGAAGTGGAACAACGATGAGAATGACACTCGGGATTTCATGGAATATCTACGTGACTGCGCTATGGAGATTGGGTATCGTCTACCCCAGATCGAGGGCCATTTCCGCCATTCGTTCGTCAACTTTGATGGGACAGAGCATATATTTGACGATATCGAACTATAAAAGGGAGGATTTGCTGCCAATATTGAACATCAGCAAGCAATCCAAATTTTCATCGTGCGTTCGCGCGCAATAGATCTTAATCGTGTCGTCATATGATGGTCAATCATCAAATCCATGATTGTAGCCAACAAGATTGCCAAAAGGTTAGCCACAAGCGCACCAGAACACAAAAAATATACCGTCGTCCATTGTTTTCGTCGGTAGCTACGTATACATATCAATTTTGCCTGTATAACGGCTGAAACGCGTTGTTGATGCTTGTGACGATGATTTGTGATGATGACACGTCATCACGATCAGAGACTTCAACCATAGTCAGAGACTTCAACTGCCCCTAACCAGTATCGGGATGGACCGAAGTGTATTGTTTGCAGATCCAAAATAACAGTAATTCTATTGCTTTTATACGTATAGAGCGGCAGTGTTGAATCTACGGCTATGGGTAGACTTTTCCGTGGTTGAACACGTCATGCAAAAAAATCGCGCATACAGTCAAACTTCACACCACTCTTGCTGTATCACTCTTCTTCGTTATCCTCCTCCGAGTAATACGTCTCTGTTGACGACGTATCACTCGAGATTTCAATCTGATTGTCCTCATCGCCTTGCTCGATTTCGTCTTGTTCGATCTGTAACTGCGTGGGCAGCATCTGCGACGCTGACAGCAGTGGTGACGAAACGAAACCAAAGAGTTCCGAAACGCCTACAAAGTTAGCCATATTCGACAGTAAACAGCTCTATATACACTCACCACGTCGACCAACTTCAACTGGCGTACCACGGATCTCTTGCTCGATGGATTGACGTGGCACTAGGGCGTCGATATGTCGGGATGACCCCAACTCGCCTGAAACTAGCGCCGCAGAGTTTTCAACTGGCGCCGCCGCCGTCCCTCCTGGCAATCCAGCGTATATTCTTGTATAAACATCTCCTTCTGACTCTCGATGGTTTGAATGAAGTTCAGAGTGAGATACCACGTCGGAGAGGGCGTCAGACTGCCCTCCGTAGTAGGCGCTGTTGTCTATGAAGGATTTGATCGAGTTCCTGACATCTTCGGTAAGATCTTGAGTAAAACCCTGTTCAGTAAACCAAATATCTGGTAACTTGCGAATTGCCCGCAAGCTACTGTCTACTGATCGCAGTTTCTGTAGCTTCTTTCTGAACCCTTCGTCGACGTTATATCGCTTGCCGCGGACGGATATAAACCACTTGATGAAGCTGGCCACTTGATCTAGAGCTTTTCGAGGCGAATCCGGTACCACTGGCGAGGACGAACGAATCGGGAGTGCGATACTTGGTTGACGAGTGCTTGGAAGGTTCAATGGCGGAAGAGTTGGCAACGAATACTGTGAGATGTTCGCATATGGCCAATATGCCGGCGGCGGCGGCGCCGGCGGCGGCAGCTGTACGTATGGGTTAGGATATTGAAGATGACGATCTGGCGCCCCCGCGTTGCCGTATATATTGACGATGGCGTTGCTGTTGGCGTTGGTTAGGCCAGATCTTGACCCTGATGATGGAAGTGCGGCATTTTCAGCCTTCTCTTCCGTCATCACTGTCGTCTCCTGGTTATCATCAACCTCCACGATATTCTTACTTCTCTTGCCCTGGCGTTTCTGATCCTCTATAAACTGGTCGTGAAGAATCTCACCAAGCAGTTCTTTAGGTGGTTCCATATTGTCAACGCCAGCCTGTCCAGTCATAATAGCCTTCGCCCACTTCTCTATATGGTGAGATTTGATCTTGTAGTGCTTCTGGCCTAGTATATAGCACCAGTTGAACTTCTCGTCGCCCGAACTATTCTTACATCTCTGGTACTCTGGGCAGATGTGCGTACGGAGAAGTTGTCTGTGCATACCCTCCTTCCGACGCTCGACGTTTGCAGGATCGTTAGCCTCACGATCGATCGCCTCTTGCATGCCGGCTGAAACGCCTGCTCGGCCACCTTTTCGAGGCGTTCGTACGCCAGTCACTATACCACCAGAGATTGGTACGGCGCTGTATTGCCACTTGACGGTGAGGTGGACTTCACCCCTCTCTTCAGCTTGTTCAAGAGAGGGGACAATATCAACCCATGGAATACTTGGCCAAGTGACCCCTCCAGTAGACGGATAGACCCGAGTGAAGATTGGTGTTGGTTTAGATGCGTTGGTGGGCTTCCTCCAAGCAACGACAACAGCGATATTGGCCTTCTTCACAATATACGAGTGAGCCACTTCTGCCTCAAGTTGGGCGCCGCTGTCTGCCTCCCAGTCTCTACTATTCGCATCTAATACAGGAGCAATACTGAATCTGTTATACGCGATGCTCTCGATGGTTAGATCGAGAACAGGTAAACCGTTACCCTTGAGCGCTGGGCCACGGGTAACCTGGATTTGTAGCAGAGTTGGTTCCTCGTTACCCATATCGTCCTCCTCTTCAAATACATCGTGGAACGACATAAACGTATCATCAGCGCTATGGCGAGGGGCCGTAGGCGTATCGTCCGCAAATCGAGTGGTTTGACGAGGGGTTGGGTTAACTGGGGTCGAGTCTGGTCGAAACGGTGGCATCGACGAAGGCAGAGTACTTCGGAGCCGGATCGTATGCGGCGGATCCTTCTTTCGCTTCCTCTGCGTTGTCGTTGCTTTTTGGCGAGAGGACGCTTTTGGAGCTCTTCGTGATGACGGAGGGGCTATAAGTACACGCTTTCTTCGCGATGTAGACTCAGCCGCCACCAAATCATTAGTCTCGGGTCCAGCCTCGGCGACGATAACCTCCTCGGCGGCCTCCTCGGCGGCCTCTTCGGCGGCGGCAGCCCGGCGAGCCCTCTCGGCGGGCGTAACGATCCTGATCGACGGCGAGGCAGAGCGTTGAGGAGGATCTCTGGCGGCGTCCTGTGCCAGTTGTTGTATACGTCGTTGTTTCCGCGTACCGTTGGCGATGGGTGACGGACGATGCCCAGAAGGGTCATCATCCGCCTGCCGAGCCGCGCGGCGGCGTTTAGGAGGCATCACGATGCCCTCAGATAATGAGATTCAATAGAAATAGATCAATTGAAGCCATCAGAATAGGTCAATTGCCGTACTACGAATATCTACGTGGCGTTGGGCAAATTTTCATGTATATACAGGGATTATGCGTGCGTAATTTCGGCAAAAAGGGGGGGCGGACGCTGTCAACGCAACGGAGTGTATCACGAACGGCGACCTGGACCCACAGCATCCGCTCTTTAAGCTTTAAGCGGCAGTTTAGGTCAGCCATGTTGCTGTGAAAATGTCACTGCCGCCTTGGCATCTGAAGAAGCCCGATGTCAACCCGAGTTCTTCGTTATGCTCGTTGATTCGAAGGGCATGTTTCTGCAAGGCGAGAAGGGAAAGACTGGAGACAATGGTGGATTCCCCGGGGATAACGGGCGGACTTTGCGCGATTCATGTAAGAAGACTGGCCCTGGGTACCGTATGCTCAACTTCACCAAGCCTTGAAACTTCGGACGGTTTGCTAATCAAGAATGAACAACTCTGTGGGGAAAGAAGTTTGGAACTTGGTGATGTGTATCGTGTGGGGGCCTTGGAGACTTCATCTCAATAATGCCTCTATCTGGGCGCGCCTATAAAGACAGTTCATAGCCAAACCTTCACCTTGAATTCCAGACTATCATCATCAGCAATAAGAAAAATCACATTATTTGTCCGGAACTCTCGTCGAAGAACGTTCTAACCACACAAAAATCAGTCAAAGCTTCCAATATGTCCCGCTACGCCGAAGCCCACGCCGACCCCCAGGGAGCAGGTGACGCCCGACCGACGGCCTTGCAAATCATCAAAGACGAAGGACTGGAAGGCAAGCTCGGCGGAAAGGTCTTCGTCATCACGGGAACTTCATCAGGCATCGGCATTGAGACCGTCCGTGCCATCGCAGCCACCGGCGCGAAGCTGTTCCTCACCGCGAGGAACGTAGCCAAGGCGAAGACTGCCCTCGCTGACATCCTTGACCCGTCTCGCATGGAGATCGTTCAGATGGACCAAGGATCTTTGGACTCAGTCCGTGCTGCCGCTGCGGCCATCCTCTCCAAGACCGACAAGGTCAACGTCCTCATCAACAACGCCGGCATCGCGGCTATCCAAGCTCTCGAATTCACCAAGGAGGGCCACGAGATGCAGTTCGGCACCAACCACCTCTCCCACTTTCTCTTCTTCCAGCTCTTGAAGCCGGCTCTCCTGGCGGCATCGACCCCAGAGTTCCCCTCTCGCGTCGTCAACGTTGCTTCCGCCGGCCACCGATTCAAGGGCATTAACGCGTCCGACAACTACAACTTCCAGAAGGGAGGCTACGAGCCGATGATGTCGTACGCCCAGTCCAAGACTGCCAACATCTACATGGCCAACGAGATCGAGCGGCGCTACGGGTCTCGCGGTCTGCACGCGACGAGTCTTCACCCTGGTGTTATTGACACGCCTCTCTCCGTCAACTTCCCCAAGGCGGAGATTGATGCTTTGTTGAGCAACCCCGAGATGAAGAAACAGATGAAGTCCCCGGAGCAGGGGGCTGCGACTACGGTGCTGGCTGCCGTTGGCAAGGAATGGGCCAACAAGGGAGGTAGATACCTCACCAACTGCACAGAGGCGATCCCTGAGGTTGAGGGATGCGGCCAGTTTGACAGTGAATACCATGCCTCGTGGGCATATGATGAGGAGAGCGAGGGACGACTGTGGAGAGATTCGTTGAAGCTTGTTGGTCTCGAAGACAAAGAGTGAGGTGCAAGCATCCCTGTCAGGCACCTACGTGTACCTATGTTAAGGTATTTGTGACAGACCCATACTCTACATAGATGTTGAGCAGCATAGACGAGTCTGAATAGATCTCTGTTACCTCCTAAAGTTTAAGAGCTTTCGTAAGACCGGCATGTTGCGATTAATGCATCAGCAGCGGATCCTCTTTCGCTAGTGGCTGTTTCCATCCCTGACTGTTCTTGGTGGACCTCGCAGCACGATTCTGACATCGTGTTGCCTAATCAGGCATGTGGGCAATCTGGCCGAGCGGTCTAAGGCGCCAGACTCAAGCGTTCGCTTCATCCTCCAAGAGGATAGCATTCTGGTCTCGAAAGAGGCACGAGTTCGAATCTCGTGGTTGTCATAATTCATTTTTGCTCGTTGTTGCTTTGAAGAAGGTAAAGCTTGTCTTTGTGAATCCCCACTCCAGATAAAGTGAGTGCCAGAACAAGCACCTATGACAGAGCCGGCTGGGAGCAGTGGAAGCTCGATTGTATGATCCAAATCTACCGTTAATTCGTTGAAACCCAGTGTAAAGAAAATCCCAATTCTATGATTCCCGCATTTTTGTTTTGCAAGTTTTCCAAGTCTAACCAAAGCTCCCATTCATCATTGTCCAGATCAAACGCAAAATCAACAGTCAGGTACACTGACTGGGATGTTGAATGGCACGCTCGTCGCCAGACCACTCAAACTGGTCTCCTTGAACTCATTTCTCATTCCCTTGGCGGTCAGACGCATCGCGCGGATGGCGTCGTCCAGCCTGACCTTCTGCGTGCCCGTCTCGCTGCTCAGAGCGAGGTTGGCGCTGGAGATGGCCTTGATGGCACCCAGAGCGTTACGCTCGATGCACGGCGCCTGCACGAGGCCGCCGATGGGATCGCACGTCAGACCAAGGTTGTGCTCGATGCCGATCTCGGCAGCTTGCTCGATGGCCTCAGGGCTCGCGCCCATGCACGCCGCAAAGGCGCCCGCGGCCATGGAACAGGCCACGCCGACCTCCGCCATGCATCCGCCCTCGGCCGCCGAGATGGTCGCGCCGCGCTTGTAGAGCATGCCGATGGCAGCGGCGGTCAGGAGGAACGTCGGGATATCCCGCTCCGGGTCGTCGCTGATGAACTCGATGGTGTACTTCAGCACGGCGGGGATGATACCGGCTGCGCCGTTGGTGGGCGCCGTCACGATGCGACCGCCCGCTGCGTTAGTCTCATTGACCGCGATGGCGTAGACCGTGAGATAGTCCATCGTGGGGAACGTAGTCCGGCGCGAGGGAGACGGGGTGATGGGGTGGTCGAGGGAGCCCAGCACGCGCGGAGGCGACCTTCGGCCCGGGCCGAGGCCGACGCTCGTCTTCGACTTGCTGTCGCCAATCGTCGCAGGGGTCTTGTTGGATGCCGCCAAACCTGACGAGCCAATGAACTGGATGTTTTTGCCGTCGCTCTTTTGCTCATTGGGGTTGGGCGACGTCTGGCCGGCGGTGGAATACAAGCCTCGGGTCAGTCTCCGATAGAGTGCGGGTGCGCGCCGATGGAGCTTCAGGGATCCCGGCAGCTTGGTGTCGAGCGGCGCCTGCACGCTCTCCAAGATGCTGGTGTCCATGACCTGCCAGATCTTGAAGAGCTTATGGTAGATTTCTTCATCCGTGTAGCCATGGCTCTTTTCATTTTCGTAGACGAGCTGGGCAATTGTGAGGTTGTGTTTGCGGCACAGCGAGAGCAGACTCGTTGCGTCTCGGAACGGGTACCGAGGGCCCTGGCTGCCCGACTCGCTCGTATTCTCGGGGTTTTCTGAGATGTTGACACCATTTCCCTCAGATGCAACCGGTGAAAGGCTGTCTGATGAGTTCCCCAGAAGAGCTGTGTCGTCCGTTACTTCGGGCCTGACTTCGGCGCCCGTCCGACGGTCTCCCGCGGCATCGGATCGTCTGATCTCCTTGTAAAAGAGATTCTCTGCCAGATCCACCGGATGTCTACCAGCAGTATCCTCTGATGACGGGTCAGGCGAGTCCACGCGGGCGACGGAGGATGAGGATGAGGACGAGACGTCGGGGTTGATTGACAAGGCGCCGTTAACAACGAAGCCACCGCCGACGCTGAACATGTCGTTGGTCGCCAAAACATAGCCATCCGCATCGAATACCGTGAAGCGCATGCCGTTGCTGTGTGTTGGCAGCTTGCGGCCCCATTCCCAAACGAAGTCACGCTCGTAGTCGAAGTCAACCTCCTTACCCTTGCCGTCTGCCAGACCGTGCCCAAGGAATAACTTCTTCGTGTTCTTGATCTCAGTGAACCTCTCCGGAACGTAGGCCGTGTCAACTGTCTCAACGTCCGCGCTCTCGAGACCGAGCAAGAGAGCAGACGGTGTCATATGGCCCTCGCCGGTGAGCGCCAGACTGCCATAAATGGAAACCCGAATCTTGTTGACCTTGCTCAAGAGATTCGCCTCTGCCAAATCAGCAACAAAAATGTTGCCAGCACGCATCGGACCGACGGTGTGAGAAGATGACGGGCCGATGCCGATGGAGAACAGGTCAAACGTTGAGATGACGGCATGCTCGTGGTCGGCCTCGCTGTAACTCCCCGTCTCCTCTTCATCCTCGGCAGTATTGCGCCTCCGAGCTGTGCTGCTCAGAAATCGCTGCGATTGAATGCCCAGACATCCCGTAGACCGGATTGGCCTCGCCGCATGTCGTGATATCCTCGTGTTGAGAGTCGAGGGAGCTCGGCAGCCAGCGATGAAAGTGCTCTGTCCAGCCCGCGTTAAAGCGCGTTGAGCCGGCGCCCCACGTAGCAGGGCGAGCTGCCGGATCGATGAACAGCTCATCGCTCTCCCAAGAATCAACAACGGCGGATGGAAGAGTATCAATGGCGGACTGACTTTATGTATGGAAGAAGACACGAAGAGCTGATGAACAAAAAAAGAACTTTATTGTGACAGAAGGCGGTCTGGGGTACGCCTGGGAGATAAGAGCAGAGCTCTCCCTGGATCTGTGCTGGATCTGGGGTAAGACAAGCAATCAGCCCCAGAAATCCTGACTCTGACCAATCATCCCGCCGGAATTGGTCAACCCTTGTGAGGTGTGCTTGATATGGATGGCTGATACGTAATAGTCTGCTCGTTTTATATGGAAAGAAAAACCTTGATGAACTCATGACAGTTTCAGCGACGTTGATCCCACGCGCCTGCGGGCCATGCAGCAGCGTTGGTGTCGAAAACATGCGCATGTGGGCTGCTACAGATGGTGTTGGCTCGCCATCATGAGTGCCTCGTCACAATTGGACGGACGGATGTCGTAAGCGGCGTTAAGCCTTTTTGGGTAGGTGATGCAGGGGGTGGAGGGGGAATCATCGAACGCCAGGCAGACGTTGTCTTATCTCATCAAGCTCTCTTTCAACATCGATAACCTGCTGTTTCCCTCTCCTTTCATCAATATTCACTTCTTACTCGCATGTCTGTTTACTTTAGAAAGATGCCAGAGATAGAAGAGTACCACAAGCCAGCTTCACGGCTCACGGACGATGATGCCGAGCCCGGCTCCTCATCCGAAGCGATGCCAACAAACCCCCAGCCGCAGTCCGGTTTCTTCTCCGCCCTGCCGCTCGAAATACGTCAGAACATCTATCGGCACTTGTGGATAGCCGCCGGATCGACACAGCATGTCTACAAGGCCAGCCCCTCCCCGTTGGCGCCCCTCTCCCACTGCGCTTGCATCTCGGATCCGGACGCCGAAGACGTGCGGGAGATCAAGCTCACCAACGTTCTGGAAGCCCCGCCCGCGGAGCAAGCGCCGGAATGCCGAGATGGCGCCTTCACCGTAGAGGCCATGGCACAGCGTGACGAGATCAACGACTGGCGACTGCGCAATGCTTCACTCTGGTGCAACCACTGGGCATGTGAAGAGGAACCGCCCGTGCTGCGGCCTGTGGATGATTCGATCGGCGATAGTGACGGCGATAAGAAGAAGCAGCGGACGATGGTGAAGGAGTTTAGCCCCTTTCTGGCCATCCTCCTCGCCTGCAAGCGCATGCACCAGGAGGCGGTCGACTCCATGTACGATGACACGGCGTTTTCATTCATCGGGATCGATGCTCTTTCAAGATTTTTGGAGACGACCAACGCCGAATCACTGGTTCGGATCAACACCCTTCACCTCATCTGGGCCGCCTCCATAGAATCATACATGGATCCTGAGGATGAGGAGGCCATTACAGCCAAGATGCAATGGTTTGACCTTTGGTCGAAGGCTGCTGACAAGCTCCCTCGCCTGAAGGAATTTCGAATTTGGATGTACCCGCAGTACGCCCGATACCCGATGCCCCATGAGGAATGGTTCAAGCCTCTTCACTTGTTCAGAAATGTGCCCACATATGAGATCTCATTGAGATGGTTTCAAGACCCCGCGACGCCGGATACTGGGCCCTTGGATTTCTTAGAGGAGGCACCCTTCAAATATGAGCGGACGCCACCACTCGGGGAGAACCCTTTGCATTTCCATTGGCGTCGCATGATGGGACTCTTCCTTGATGAACCGAGGTCTATGCCGACACGGAGGCAGAAGAAGAAGAGATATCTCGGCCGGTCGTGAGAAGGTGCCTCGCTTGGGTTATATGATAGTGATGAAATATGAATCATTCGATGATGACACTCATGGCAATGCAATGGGAAGTGAGTTGCGAGTCGACTTTAATTGAAAGCTTCTCTCACACACCCATCTCAGCTTAGGTGCTCATTTAGAAGGTTCTCCCGCCGGACTGTAAACTTGCTCTCAGTGGAGATCCAATGCTACCGTGGATGACATGGCCAGAACCTTAATACTTATTCAGAAAGCAGTCTTATCACGCTTATTAAGCCGTAGACGAGAGGAATTTGGTTGATTAAAGAAGCATTTAGACTTTTTCGCTCTCGCATAATCGGCAAGAGTCTTGACTCGTTTCGCAACAAGCGGGGCAACTACGACGCTCTTTACCGGGACTTGAATTACTTGGTAGTAGAAAAATTGGCAATTCTTGAGCTCCCGGTGCAACCTAATCGGACTTTGCGTAAAATACGCGGTTTAGTACCTCGGATAATGATTCGCCGGTGATGGATACGAGTAGCTCAAAAGACACATCCACTGTCAACACAAGCGTGAAAATCCACCACCCGGCTCCTACATTACAGCGACTTCCATTACAACACTGTTTGCCGTAATAACAGGGGCCAAAATGAGTGGGATCATCTTCACCGACGTCCTGGCCAACCCTTCTCCGGTAGGACTGACCGTCTTGGTTGTCGGAGCTCTCTTTCTCTTGGCGAGACTCTTTAAAAGCAAAGCTCGGCTGTGGGACATTCCGGCCGTTGGAAATGCTACGAGCAAAGAAGCAAGGAGAAGGGAGTTTCTCTCCGGTAAAGCCAGAGATCTCTATGTTGAGGGCTACAGGAAGGTACGCGGTCTAGCAAGCAGGGGAAACGAGGACAACTGGACTAAGTGGCTCCCAGTTCAAAGATGGTGCTTTTCGCATTATGACTGCGAGACGTAAGATTTCCTAACTGCCATTAACCGAATCATCTCACGACAAAAAGCTCACCTGTCGTGCAGAATCCGAGTGTGTCGTTGTATCCCCAGAATTCTTGAAGCATCTGAAAAAGCTGCCTGAAGACGTTCTCAGCTTCAACGAGGCAGTAGAAGAAGTGAGAGACGATCTTTTCGTTCAAGAGGGCGCATGCTGACTTCGTCACAACCAAGGCTCTACAGACAAAGTACACCAACATCACAAGCAATATCCCCACGATACCGCATACTCTCAAAACTTCACTCAATCCCGCTTTATGTAAGCTGCTCTAGCATAGAACGGCTCGTATCTGCTTGCTGACTGCGCAAGTTCGTTTGAATCCGATCATTCTAGATGAAGTCTCAAATGCGATCCAAACAGAGTTCCCTCAGTCAGCGGACTGGTCGGATATTAGAATCAACGGCAAGCTAGCTCGCATAGTCGCCAAAACATCAGGCAGAATCTTCGTTGGGCCCGATCTCTGTAGAGACGAGGTCTACCTCGATGCGGCGGTCAACTACACTCTGGACATGACAGCTGCTATCCAGGCTGTGGGGTTCATATCCCCCTGGCTGCGTCCATTCCTAGCGTCCCGAGCACCGCAAGTCAAGAAATTGCATCACCGCTTCCAACAAGCTGACGATTTCCTCCGGCCCGTAGTCACAGCCCGCCGTCAGGCTGCACTTCATGGCCTCAATGAGAAGGACAAGCCAGATGACATGTTGCAGTGGTTGATGGACTCCCAAGACAAATTCGGCCAGCAGAGTGATCGTGCGATATCGAAGTATCAGTTAAGCCTGACCTTTGCAGCTATTCACACGACAACGGCAGCATTGACCAACGCGTAGGCTCAATTGAAAGACTTTCTCTTTGACAATGGCTGATTTTCATCTAGCTTCTATAACCTTGCGGCAACACCCGATCTCGTGGCAACCCTGCGACAAGAGGTCGAGGAGGTTCTTGCTGAGACACATGGCAATATTACCGCAGTGGCACTGCAGAAAATGGTTAAGCTAGACAGCTTCTTGAAGGAAGTCATGAGATACTACCCTCAAAGTGCCAGTAAGACACATGCTTTACCTCTGAGATCATCGGCTAAACATCACCCCTCAGCGGCATTCCAACGCAAGGTCATGAAGCCAGTCACTCTGCCAAACGGGCAAACGATTCCTACCGGTGTCATCCTGGAGGTCCCTTCACATGCCATCAACTACGATGAAACGATACACGCCAGTCCGGACGTCTTTGACGCGTTTAGATTCTACAAGATTCGAAAGGATAAGGAAGCTGCTTTGAAAAGTAAAATGTCAGTGGAGGACGCCTTTGCGGAAGCAGCAACAAACAATCAGTTTACGAGTGTGGGCGATACGAGTCTTGCTTTTGGGTACGGGAGGAATGCCTGTCCTGGCCGGTTCTTTGCAGCGAACGAAATGAAGATGATTCTGGCGACCACGTTCTTGAATTACGACTTGAAGATGCCCGATGGCTGTACCGAGAGGTACAAGAATCTCACTTTCGGGTCTCAGGTATGCATGCTCTATTGCCTTTGAGGATTAGCTAATAATATTATCGCAGTCAGTTCCAGATCCTACTAAGACCATCATGGTGAGGTTGCGGAAATAGACCCCCTAAGGATAATCACTTCTAGATAGCATTATGTAGAAACGAACATGCAAAGAACTATTCTGGATTCTCTGCAGAATCTTGCCGATAATCTAGATCCCTTCATGTAGCTCTCACGATCTCGTCACTCAATTCCCATAGCCGCTTTGCCTTCTCTTCATCGAAAGCATGCGGCGCGTACCCAGGTCCTGTTCTGCCCTCGGTGCACGTTTCAGACGGGACGCCTTCTTGGACATCAGCTAGATACTTGCCGCCCCGGTGTTGCCATTCGGCACCGACAGCAGCCCAGATCGTCGTGGCGGCGGCTTGCTCGGAGGATTTGATGAGCTTCGCGATTTCAGGAGGTCCAAACAGCTTCTTCATGAAGTCTTCCCCGACATGGCGGCTTAGACTAGAGACCACTGCGCCGGGATGAACAGAGGTGGCGTGTAGGTGATATGAGCCATACCGTCGCTCGACTTCGTTCGCCATCCAGATATTAGCTGTTTTTGAGGCGCCGTATGCGCTGTGTGTATCATACGTCGTCGTCTCGAGATTCAAATCATCGAGGTCAACCGAGCTCGCGAGATGAGATCGCGAAGATACCATGACAAGCCTTGACGGGTACGATGGGCTTGAGGACTTGAGGAGAGTGTCTTTGAGAGCTTCGAAGAGGGCAAAGTGCCCCAAATGATTGGTACCAAAGTGCATTTCGAATCCATCTCTAGTCCTAGCTTTAGGGTGCAACCCAACACCTGCCTATGATTTAGCATTACGATAGCCATGAACATACTTCAACTTACCAGCATTGCATATCAAACAATTCAGCGTGTCGCTCAACTGCAGAAACTTTGATGCTGCATCTCGAACACTGGCTAGCGAGTCCAAGTGCATTTCAATGAAGACCACCTTGCCCGGCTTGCCGTCATGCATTATTCGTTTCGCGACTTCTTCGCCCCTTGCCGTGTCACGCCCCGTGATGTAAACATCAGCGCCGGTGGCATGCAACGCCCTGGCTGTCTCGACCCCGATTCCGTTCGTGCACCCCGTCACAAAAAAGACTTTCCCCTGAAGTTTGCCATCGAGTCCTTGGTCTCGGATGACTTTTAACGCCGTGGGTCGAGCATCGCCAGGGCCGTTCGGATCCTCATGGTCCTTGTCGTAAGGGGCGATCGGGGTCGAGGCCATGGTTTCGGCCGAACTTCGATTCATCTGAAGGAAACAATCACCGGAGAAAAGGCTGCACCTGTAACATAAGAATGTTTGCAGGCGACAGTGCGACCATAAGTAGCTGCCCCTCCAGCTCCACGCTGACATGCCAATTAAGGTTTTGTTTCCCACATAGGCAAGTTTCCCATACGAAGGGCGGGTCGGCTGATGCCGGTGGGACAAGAGAGCTGATTCAGACTGTTGCATTGCGCGGCCAAGCCACTCGGTTTCGTTTGGACCGAACTGCCTTTATTTTGACAACGTCCAATCTGAGGGGTTGGAGGACGCCATCATTATTTGACAGGTGACCTAATAGGTGGAACACAGACAAGACCACACCCACACCCATATCGGTGAGCTTACGCGCCATGCTGCAAGGATCTCGATACTTCACAACACTAGCGTCAAACAGCCGGCCTGCTGTTCATGATTCTACCAAATGGTCACCTACTGTCCAAGGTCTTTTATCGTTCACATGTACAGAACATCTGCACCCGAAGAATCGATCTTTTGACAATGTGACTGGAAATCTCCCCGGAAATTTTTAGAGTAGAAATCTCGGCATGGGATCTGCAGCCGGCTTCGGCAGCCGGTAGCACCACGGCCTCGAATGCTGCCATGGCGTCCGTGCATTTGTTTGCGAATAGCGTCTTCACATCAGACGATACAAGCTGAAGCACAGGGGCTGTGAATGACGCTGCTAAGAGGTTTGTGCACCGGAAACATTTAAGAAGAACACCTTCGGCGTTCCCGCCCCACGCGCTCAGATGTCGCTGATCTGGCGTCAACTCAAAAACAACAACTCAACCCATCATTTGGTTCCTTTGACCAAGGGTTCATCCAAGTCCTGCAAAAAAGTCAACTGTTCTCGGCGCCCTGTTCAGACCATTTGACTGCTTTGCGACCGCGTATATGAGGGTCGTTCAGGCTCTTCTGCTGCTCTTGGCGGCGGTCGGCCTTGTACTGGCCGACCCGGCGGCTGAGACCGGAGACATGGACTTGTTTCCGGGCGCAGTGTTTGAGGGCATTGCCTGGCGCGGCGACGAAGCAGTGAGAATTTTGTACAGGCCTTCGATTACTGAAAACGGGAAATTTGCTAATCAAATTTGGCACAGCTGTCCGTCAGAAAGCCCGCCACCACCAGCCCCGAAGAGTCCACCGCCGAAAAACGCGAAAAGTCCGAAAAAGGCGAAGGGTTCCAAAGGGTCGTCAAACGCAAAGGGGACGTCGGGCGCGAGGGGGGCAAAAGGCTCAAAGGAGAAAGGGTCGAAGGACAAGGGGCCGAAGGGGAAGGGCTCGGGGAAGGGCCCAAAAGGATCCAAGGGCGGGAAGGGATCGAAAAGATCGAAAGGCGCGGGAGAGTGACTGGAGAACCCTGCACCTCGGGTAGAGGAGAGTGCAACACGGGTCTTGGTTGTTATGGGTGTCAAGGGCATAAAACAGTTTGTCAGAAGGGCCCTGGCTCAGGACAATGCTGTTTCAACGAAGACAGCAGGGGAGCCATTTGTGAGCCGATGGCAGGATAATACCAGCAAAAGAGACTGCCATACTACAAGTCACAATAATGCTATATTTTTACGCGGATCTTCTGAGCTTTGATGGATCATTGTTTAACATCCCGTGGGCCATGGGATGCCGACCTAAACTCGCACAAACTCGCAGTTAGTACGGACAACGGATCCCAGACGATTTCCCTTCAGATGTCGAAGCCTTCAGCAGGAACTAGAAATTCGAATTTAAACACGATCGTATTGCATTATACTATCAACTCAAGGCATATGCTAACAACCAAAACATGATGCTTCCGTTAGACCTTGGTTGTGGCGTGCTCACTCTCCTCAACATCAACCGGACCGTCTCCCTTCCCGCCTTCATCGAGTCGAACATTGGCCTGCTCACCATCAAAGATGACCGCAATCTCCTCCAATGCCTTGCCCTTAGTCTCGAGGAACCATCCGTACGCAATGAAGCTCTCGACCGCCAAGATGACAACATAGACGATATAAAAGCGCCAGCCTATGTTCTGGAGTCCAATGGGGTTGACGTACTGGTTCACAAACACAGCAGCCTTGGTCGAGAACACATAGGTGGCCATGCCCTTCGCACGGATGGAGAATGGTAAGATTTCGACGGAGTAAGCGACCGGCAAGGGCGAGAATGCGATGCAGTAGAAGATCTGGTACACAAAGATGAGAGCGAGGACGGCGATGCCGGCTGAGCTGGCGTTCGTCTCTGCAAAACGGGCGGAAGCGATGGTCCAGCCGATGAAGACTGTGAGCATGCCGATCGTGGAGATTCGGAACAGGGGTCGTCGGCCGACTCGTTCGACAAAGAAGGCGGTCGTGAGGGCAAGGCCGAAGTTCCAAATGTTGACGAGTCCGTTCACAAGAGCCTGGGTGTTCTTGTCCTTGATTCCCACGGTGTCCATAATTCTAGCTACTGTCAGTATGTAATCTTATCCCACCGGGCGACAACTTACCGTGATAGGTAATAGGCAATCAATCCGTTTCCGGACCACTGAGAGAAGAATCCCATGCCTTGGAATCGCCGTTAGCCATCATCAAAGATCAGTAGAGTAAATAAGTGACTCACAGATAACAAGGAACATGCGATAGCGATTTCCCTTGGTAGAGACCATTGACTTCCAAGTCGTCGCACCAAGCCCTACAAATTGGGTTAACCATGGAAACTTCCGGACTCTGTGTAGAGGGCTTTCTTACTCTTCTCATTATCAATGGCCGTTCTGATCTCCTCGTACTCGAGCCTAATTAGTTCCGTCTCTTGCCCTTCGCCGTGATATCGCTTGAGAGCCTCAAGAGCATCGTGATCGCGGTCCTTGGAGATGAGCCATCGAGGAGATTCAGGTAGGAACCAGACAGCCGAGAGTTGAACAACGCTTGGTGCCATCTGGAGAAGCGAAGGAATTCTCCATGACCAAGTGCTAGGGATCGTTCGAGTTCCGAAGGCTGTTTGGTCGTTATTAGCTTTCGATCGACTTGATCTCAGGGTAGGATTTGACATACTGATCCAAGCTGCAGCAATACTTCCAAGATACCAGCTGCAAAAGTAGACTCCGTCAGTCCGCCATTGCTGAAATAGATTGGGTTGTATTTGATGCTTACCAGGTGTTGCAGATGGCCGTGATCGTAACACGATCCTTGGGATGCGATAACTCACTGACCAAGCTAGGGGCCGAGGTCGTTGCAAAGGAGAGTCCAAAGCCCAAGATGAATCTGCTAACAACAAACATGGCAAACTCGGTGCTCTCGCACTGAATGATGGCTCCAGCAATCATAATCAGACTTCCCACCGTGATACCCCATCGTCGCCCAAACCTGTCTGCGACCCATGGGGCAATGGGAGTTGAACAGATGCTACCCAAAGCCATGATGGCGCTCATCAAGCCAAGAACAGCACCGCGGGGATTGTCGAAGAAGTCATCGAAGTAGGACACCGTCTGGAGCGAGTTCATCATCGAGCCGTCGTAACCGCTGGTGGCGTACGATACAACGGCAGCGGGGAACAGGAGGAAGTATAACTTCCTCCGAGCCCCGGATCTGTACCATGCCGGCGACTCTTGGGCCAGCTGGGCAATGCGAGAGGGCTGGTAGGTTTCGTTTGCGACGGCCGGACCACCTTGCTCTCGAGCTCGGCGGGCTGCCTGGTCCTGCCTCGGTGCAGGGAGTCTTTCGCGGAGGAAGTTCATTGTCGCTGATACCGATGCTTGAGAAGTTGACAGACAACGGACTTGGGAGGGGAGGATGGGAGGACAGTTGACCCAGCGGTGGAGAGAGCTGATCTAAACTGACGACCACGACCAAGTAGCCGGGATTTCGTGTGCCCTTATATGCAGATAGTCCCTTCAGCTGCAAAGGTGGAACGATGAAGTTGTCCTGAACACCCGCACCATTCCCGGGTTCTGCTCGTCGGGTTGGGGTCTAAGTTGAGGGTGACGAAGTCGTAAAGTCGGCATCTGGGGCTAAATGAAACGAACTCGATCGGGTGATATCGCCATTGGCGCGGAAACTAGCTCGATGGTCTTCCTGACAGAACCGTACTCCTGGAATTATCAGTCCGCCTGCCGAGGACAAACAACACGACAGGGATCACCAGTCGGATGATGGGATGCGGAGAAGAAGCAGGGGCGATCCGGGGGCTGGGGTAAAGTGCAATCCAATCCCCACACGAAGGAACATCATGAGATGAATAGTCGTTCAGGCGAGACCAGTCTCCATGGGGTAAAACGAATGATTAGCGGTTGCGGGTGAAGTCACGCTCGTCTGACTCGGCATCTTTCCGTCGCGGAAGACAGCAGTTGTCAAGTGAGAACAGCAAAGTGCGCCGAGACTTGTTCAAGATGTGTAGCGTCCGGCGATGTGGAGAAGCCTGAGATTCCTCTTTGAGTCTGGGAGAGCCCCCTTTTTGGTAGAACTGACGAATCATGACTCGTCGGGGCAGCTAAAGTCTTCCCCCGAATGAACGTGGGTCACTTCGGGGCAACGAAAACCATCCCCCTAGCGTCGTTTTCGCTTCGGTTGATGCTGTCCGCGTCTATGCGGGGCATCCAAGACAGTCCCCCGAGTTGGAACGTGGGGTCGGGGAAGCGTATTGGTCTTCCCCGATGGTTGACGCGGGCGTCCTTTGGTCGCGTTTATGGCCCCGGAAGCGCGTATGTACGAGTCTTGTCTCCGATCACCACATGAGGGGACCCCAATTGTGGCTCCGGACGTCATGGGGACTGTGGGACGTATGCAGCTTCTCCGTAACGCAGGTGATAGCTCGTCGCGTGGCTCTTAGTTAAATACGATTTTCGCATGTGAGGCCGTCATATTTAGGAGGTCGAGCGGTCCTGCTGGCTCAGGTCGGAGGAAAGGTTCGACCTCCGCATTCTCTCTACGTCTTCTATCTCTTCTTGTCGCCAAATCACCGCCCAATTGACTACCAACATGTCGAACGGTATCTTGAAGACGTCTGGGCCT